AAGGGCAACGCTCTTTTATTATATGTGCATGTTAGTGCAGTTCGTAAGCTATTTCTAGCCGAGTTATATTATACACGCGCTCATAATCTTACACATTTATAATATTAGTAGGATTTAATTTAAGTTGTCAATTAAGTTGATTTTAAGTTCCTGAACTGGAGGCAATGTTTGTCAAAAATATTTTCAAAATAGATGCAGCTTTCTTAAAACTCCTCTCGTTTGATACCCCTATCAAAATAATTAATCTAACATGTTATTGAAATTAATTTTTTTTGGAACAAGTGGCAGCCCTCTTCAAAAATATTTACAAAATAAAGCTTCCTTTCAATTCTCTCGTTGAAAACCAATAACAAAAAATTTAATTCAACTTGCTAACTAAATTTATTTTGAACTTCTCAACAGGTGGCAGCATCTTTGAAAATATTTTCAAAATAAGTCTTTCTGAAATCCCTCTCGTTTTAAGTCCATATTAAAATTTTTCGTTTAATTTGTTATTTAAATGGATTATGAATATGAATATGTTTGATATTTATCGTTTTCAAACCCCCTTTCCGTTGTCAGCCACATTGTTCTTATATTTTTTGTAGCTTGTTAATTAATTGGCTTTAAGTTTTTTAACAGGTGACAACCCGCTTAAAAAATATCTTCGAAATAAATAGTTTTGGAGCCGCTTTCCTTTAACATTCACATTGATTTATATTACGATTTATTAAACTTTTTAATAAATTGATTTTAACTTTTGAAAAAGGTGGCAACTCTGTTTAAAGAATAACCTATATGTGTGCCAAATTTCATTGGAATATAACCTGACGTTTTAACGTGAAAAAAACACACATACATACTTACACACTCACGCACAGGATATATTAAAGAGTGCATACAAATGTAGGTACACCTCCCTCTTAAACCCAACTCTTCCATAGATCATCATCACACGTAGCCTGTTTAAATAATAGGCCATAAGAACTAAACGACTCAGAATGACTCACGAAAACGCTGAACTTCCGTATTTTTTAGAAACAAAAAAGACAGAAAGAAATTTACTTATTTCATAGTTCATCAAGAGAAAGACGACTATTTTCGCATTTCTTGGAATAAAATGAGTTTTATTTTTACTCATGTGATAAAGGCCTTTTTTCTTCTACATACATATTTCGAATGCATATACATATGTATGTATATATGTATATACACAGATTGCATAGGTTAGTTTTATGCGTGTGGATATTCATATATGTATGTATGTATGTATATACATTTCTAGACGAATATGCTAGCATAAATAATGAGTAAATAAGCTTTTACACTTCCACGTACGCACACATTTGCGTAACTATATTATTTACATACATAGTTGTAAGCGCCTAAAATTATGTATGCGGAAATACAAATGCAGTGGCCTACTTTTGGGATGCCAAGCCGTTTTTTTTTGTTTTTTGTTTCTTTGCCTGTTTGAGATGACGGACTTTCTGGCATGTAAATTGAGAGGACATGCATGCATGTTCCGTGGTAGCATTATTCTTTTGCAACGGTATGTTTATAAGTACATACAATTTCATATGTTTATATATTTTTTCCTCCTACTTTGCAAGGTAATTTTATACAAATTTAAAGTATAACTCAGTAAAGTTATCTATGGATATTTTTGTACATTCTCTATACATAGTACATATGTACATAAAGCGTTCCCCAAAAGTCTGCATAAATGAAGAAAATTATTTATTATTTATTTATTTATTATAACTAAAATTTTTTTTTTTCTTGATTTCGAGTGGAAAACCACGAACCTCGCACCTTACATAGACTTGCGAAATGTTTTGATCTCCGCAAACGGCCAACGCCTGTAGTGCGATATTGCGTAAAAAGTACTGAATCGATTTGAATGAAATTTTAAAGGATTGCAGGGAGGAGGTTGTTTATTGCATTATATTTCTAGATATAAAAACGTTAAGTTCGTTTGCTTGGCAGGCAAAAACTCGAAAACAGCTTGACCGATTTGAATATTTTTTTTTAAATTTCTTCACTATAATACCCGTAAAGCTTGAAAACGGAAAAATTAGAGAGTTGCCACCTGTTTCAAAAATTCAGTTTAAGTCAATTGAAACGATAAAGAAAATATCGCAATATGGTTATCAAAATAAAAAGGTTTAGGCCTATAGCTGAAAGTGTCTTTGAAAAAGGTTGCCAACTATTTCAAAAAATTTAGTTTAGATAAATTTATGAAATAAATTAAATATCATCAAGCTTAAGAGGCTTAAGAGGGCGTACAGACGAAATTTTTTTATCAGGGTTACCACCTGTTTGAAAAATTTAATTTCATTTAATTGGTAAAATAAATTACAATATGGTTATCAAGTAAAAGAGGTTTAGGGAAGTTTACATTAGAAAATGTTTTTGAGGTGGCTTGCCACTGTTTAAAAATTTTAGTTTAATTAAATTGATATTGTAATGGTTGTCAAGCGAGAGGTATTTGGGAAATATTTGACTTAGAAGTATGGGGTATATCGAAAGAAAGCTTGATGAGTTACCTATTTTATTATAGAATTTTTAAATGTAACTAAACATTTTCAAACAATTGTTTAAATAAATTTGATTTTTGCGAAAACTTTACAAGAGAATTCAATTTCCTATCAAAACTGAAATCCATGCATGGATTTTTGAGATGTTTTGATTGATTGAACTTTGACCTTTGATAGCTCCGGTAGTTGTTGTTTCCCCCAAAAAAGTACAAACGGTGTAACAACAATAATTTCTATCGACCCTAATTCTTTTAATTTGAAAATTGGAGCTATTGTTCCTTATTATTAGTGTTACGAATTTATCATACATTATTCACTGTTAATACGATTCTATTACATCAGTGTTGCCAGAGAAAAATTTCCTTTGGAGCTAAAACGGTCGAAAAAAGAGCTAAAGAGAGCTAAATAATACTAATAGTAGCTAAAGTGAAGAGCTATATAATTTTGTTAAGGTTGACGTAAGGTTGTTTTTACATTTTCGGCAATTTTAATAAAAAACAACAAATTTTATAAGTTTAAGTGCTGCGAAAATCTTTTAAAACCAAAATAAGGTGCATATATTTTGAATTTGTTGCTATGACACTTATAACAGTGAAATAAAAATATTTTACAAATTGTTAAAGTCTGTAATTTCAGATATTTGAATTGAATAATTTTTTTGCAAAATTTGTTTGTGGAAAGTTTTACTTGGAGCTCTCCTTAAAGGTAAAATTAATAAGGTAAAACAAGATCCGCGGTACCAGAAAAAGAATTTTCTTCTAACTAATTTTTGAATTCTTTAACCTATATGCAAGAGTTTATGATGGATACACTGCATCTCGAAATTTTCCATTTTATCAACGCTTAAGTTTTGGCTTATATATATCAAATACAAATGAAACTTTCTGGAGCTAAAAAAGTGCTAGATAAATTTGAAACGAGCTAAAAAAAGAGCTAGGAGCTAAAACCCAATTTTCGGAGCTAAATAGAAAAATAACGAGCTAAATCTAGCTCCAAAAGCACCAAAATGGCAACACTGTATTACATATCAGAAAAATATTTTTAATTAATTCACATTTTGGATAAGTTAGGCGTTCGTAAAATCTATGACGCGTATATTCGTACAAGTACGTATGTACATATGTACATTAGCATGGGCCGAAAATCCGTTTTTTTAGAATTTTGATTAGTAACAGCAAAAATATGGTTCATTATGCTTTAAAAAAAATCTGTGTGAAATTTGGAATTTATTGGTCAATATCTTAGGCTCGCCCAAGTCCATCAAAGCTCAATATGCTCAAAAAATAAAAATTAATAAATAAATTAATTACAATTTTTTTTTACTAAAATTGCAATAATATTCTAAAGTATTAGTACTACATAATTTGGTATATGGCCTTTTTTGTAGAGAATCGAATTTGTTAAAAAAAAAAAATTTAGTACTTGAACTTTGATGGACTTGGGCGAGCCTAGGATATTGACCAAAAATTTTCACATTTGACACAGATAGTTTTTAGAGCATAATAAACCATATTTTTTCTATTACCAATCGAAATTCTAAAAAAGCGCATTTTCGGCCCACGCTAATGTACATACATATGTGTGTATATAACTTACCGTTATCGATTATGAAAGTTTAGTTTGCTTTGCTTTTTTAAAACTATTTGGCAATATTTGACAGTCGACATTTATGTATGCATATGTTTAATTAAGTTCAAACTATGTATATGCTTCACTCAAGGACCACTGCCGCTACGCACATATGTATGTATGTATAACTCTCCTAACACACACTTAACTACAAATATTCCAAATTTTATGCCGCATCCATATGACATAGTCAAGTGGACGATGTACACAGCCCGACATTGACTATTTTTACGATTCGGGCTCGTAGACTCAGCAGCGTAGTGAAAATGTAGCGTTGTAATGGGAACTGATTTTTCGAGCCTATATGTTTGAATATATATACATAAGTGGATATGTATTTACGAGTAGTTATATAAAACCAACACTTCATTCAATGAATCTTTAAGCACAACACAAGCAAAAACTCACACACACACACATATTCATATATGTATGTACATATTCGTATATTTGCTTGCATGTATCGATGCATGGATGCTTGAAAATTTGCCACACAAGAATACACTTTAATTATTTGATTACTTTCATGTTAAAGGCTTGAAATTTGATTTTCTTTTTTTAGAAACAAACAAAAACTGTTTTAGTGCTTAACCAAAAAACCAGAAACGATACAAATACTTTTTGGCGCTTCTTTGACTCCATATTTAAACACAACCACACACACAATGGTCGGACCACTGCACCAAACCACAGTCATTGCTCCAGTATTGGCGTCTCTAAGTCCTGCGCGTGTACGCACCACTACACATACAGTCGAGCACACACACAACTTTTTTTTTCAAATAAATATGTGCATATGTATTTATGTGTATTGTACAATAAATACGGAAGCATGGCAATACACGTTTGTACCTTTTTATGAAACCGCAGCTCATTGTGTTCTCGTGCTTTTGCTCTTTGCCACCATTATACTCGCCGTTGTCGTCCTCGTCCTCGTCTTTGTTGGCGTCCTAGTTCGCTGCTAACGCAAAAGGAGTTCACTTTTTTTACGCTGATATCCACAAAAACTATGCGCGCTGACTCGCACTGACTTCGCTGTTAGCTTTCTGTTCCTTACTGGCTTTTTTCGTAGTTGCTGCTGCTGCTGCTTTCTTAATCTTTTTTCTTCTTTTCTGCAATCCCTTGCTACTTTTTCTTTCGTTTTCCTCCTTTTACTGCTTCTGTGTAATTTTACTGGCTTTGACTCAACGTCAACGCTTTGCCGCGCTGGTCCGCCGTTTCGTTGCTGCTGCTTTCTTTGCTTAAAGTCCTTTCTTTTCCTATATCACCAACACATACATGTACGACGCATTACAAATCTGCAGTGTGCTTTTAGGCGTTATTTTTTCGTTATTCGCACTGGTCACCGATCACTCAACACACACACACACACGCGCGCGCGCGCACACAGCTCTGTATGTATGTGTATGTAATAAATGATATTAAACACCCACTCGTCGTTTTTGGTTAGCCTCCTGCTCACTTCTGTCTTCATCCATTGATGAGACCACACTCTGGTTCACTTTGTAGCAGAAAATTCAGCAGCATTCACTTGCTTTTTTTCCGAAACCTAACGGTGCATGCCAGCCACTCCACAAATTTTACGTTCATAAATACCAAGTGGGTCTATATTCCGTTTTACCAAAAAAAAACACGCAAAAATACCCGAAAAAAACCCTCGTTGGCCTCAATCTACTACAGTACTCGTTGTTAGTAGGTAGCTAAGTCAGTCAGCACAAAAACTGCATTTCATTTGCGGCATTTGTGGCTTCATTGGCAGCTTTGAGTTTCGCTTACAGTTGGTCGATTTGCTCGTTGCGCACCCCGCCCCCCCTTACACACACATGCAGCCGCTGTACACGTCCAGTGTTCCTCTGTCCAGTTTCGCGATGCTGCTCGGACACGTCCTCGAACTCGAACTCGGGCTCGGACTCGAACTGGAACTGGAATTGGAAATGTGTGTTGTGCCTTTTCTGTTTCCGCCTTTGCTTGTACTGCTGGCGTTCAACTTCTGACATATGTTCGTATGTGCAGATTTGCCGGTTCTGCGGTGTTCTTTCGTTCGGTGTTCGCTTTATGGGTAGCTCACTTTTATTGCTGACTATGTATGTATGTATGTATGTTTGGATGTATGTATGTAGCTATGTACTTGGTGTAGAAATTTAGTTTCGTTTTTGCTTTACAAAATTTATCAACTTTGCGTCGTTATTTTGAATGAAATTTCTATCGATTTCAATGACTACACGTTTCCACTACACGTCTATTTAGTTTTCATTAATTTAAAACTAGTTTACTAGCGTTTATTTTACGATTTTTTCCTATTTAAAATTGTGCTCACTTACGTCTACGTATTGTTTCGATATTGAACTTTTTCGGATTTACATTTTTAACGAAGGGTAGTTTATTGATTTTTTACACGCACACACTGCGACGACCTACAATTGTGGGCATGCGCTGAGAGCACAACGGAACGAAACTCTCAGTAGCTGGCAAAGTTTCACCGTGGTGCGAAAATGTGAAGCATGTTGCTCCGTTGTTTTAGAATGAGGGTGATTTTGAAGTTCTTTGCGTGGGCGCTTCTTAGTAAAATCTTTTGTATATTTGTTGTAAAAAGTTAATCTACTTTGAGTGGAAAAAAGAGCGAAACTACATAAGTGTTTCAGAGAATAAAAAAATATGCTTAACGAACGAACAGTGCAATTGGTCCCCTACGTAATGCGAACTGACGTAAATCAGTTAGCGCAGAAATCTACGGCAAGCTGATTTTTTCATATGTCTGCTGACTCTTTTCTTCCAGGTAAGATTGCCAATTTCAGAGTTTGCAGTTAGTAAAAAATTATTATAACATGTGAATAAATTGGACATGATATTTTCTTAATTAAAAAACTGGACATATTTTATGGTAGTTTAATAACTGGGCGAAAATGATAAGTAACTTAGGAAATGGTTATAACTTTTACTAAATTCAAGAACTAGACATCAATTCTTGGCAATCTAAAAACAGGACATAATTTATGATAATTCAACAACAGGACAAAAAAGCGTGGAAATTTAAAAAAAAGATTGATTAATGTCCGCCATGCGGAGAGATACCACACGATTCGAAAAATCTCTTCGCATGCCCGGAAAACCCCACACATCTAACGACTTTGTCCCTATGGGCAGACCCTATAGAGGCTGCACGCTTCTTGGCTCTTCCGTTAGTTCAGCTTGACAACAAAGACTGAGATACAAGCCGATCTGGAAGGGGTTGTTGTAGCCGCTACAACAGTCAGAACAACAACAGCGGTCGTCTATGATTCAACCAAATTAAATGATATTCTTGTGCACATCACTAGAAAAACTGGAATTACTATCAGAGCCGTTGGCGATTTCCTCAAAGCATTGGCAAATATCCTGGTCTCGCTCTTCAATAGAAGATTTCACAAGAATTCGACGGTTTTCATATGATTCAACAGGTTTCTCCATGCTAACCGATTTATATTTTCGAATTATTTAGTTCACCATCTACCCAGTTTTTAGATTTATTGATGTCAGAAAAGAAGACGAGTGTTGAAACGTGTGTCACAAAATATTGCAGCAATGAAGCCTTGCGGGCGCGATTCGGGAAGCAAAAAGATATGTAGCCATGCACATTAATGCGATTTTCATCACATTTTTAAATAGAAAAAATCAATCACGCGTTTTTTTCTTAGCGTTCATCGGATATCCGAATCCTGCTTTTATTTTTTACAGGATATCCGGAATACGGTTATCCGGCAAAATCTCTATCCGGCACATCCCTAATAAAAACCCATCATTTTGACAGACAGTACAAATTCGCCTTGAAATCAGCAGCTCCGGTAACACCACCTTATATGAATTCGCCTTGGACATTGTTGATATGAGGGTAATTTTTGCCGAATCGCTGCGTTTTTGCCGTAATCAGCAGAAATGTGAGGCTACATTACTGTGTTCTCATTGAAATTCTGAATTCGTGAGTAATTGTACCATTACAGTAACTATGGGGTAGGTTAAATGATGAATGATGATTTTATGAAATTATAATAGCTCGTAATCAGAAATTAATAAAAATTTCTCATTTAAATGTATGCATTTATATATTTATTATAAATTTTTTGCGCTCTAACAACACTGGATTCGCTCTCATTCCATTGAACTAAAAGTTGACGAAGGAAGTGGAAATAATCGAGGGTTTTTGTATTTGCTAATTCAGTGGTGACTTAACGGTATAATTTGTGAGTGGATATACCCTAGAAAAACCTCTGTATGGAGATCGAGAATGAAGAAATCAGTGCAGGGATATCAGTCCACAGCCATGTTGTAAGCTGTGTTGGCTGTGTAGAGAGCAGACCACAATGGTTGCAGTACTACTGCAAGACACGGCTTGACACGAACTGGTTCCAGAGTCCAGGAAGACTCGGACTAGGAAAGGTGGTAAGCGTTAGCACAAGCAGAGCCCTTGAATGCTCTCTGGCCAAATTTCAAGAAGCTCTTCCTGAAAGGAAAAGGAGATCTAGAATGAGGCCAAGTATGAGGTATTGAAGGCGAAGGCGCGTTACGCAGCTGCGGTCAAGATCTGCTACCGACTTGGTAGAGAACGGCTGAGCATACTATACAGCAAGACCACAATTTTCCGCAAATGATCAAGGAGCAGATTGTGGCGACACAAGCGATCAAACAGCGGTCTGTTGAAGAGGAGGCAGCAAAGCTCCTAAAGAAACAGGAATGTAAGGACGAAGCCTTACAGCTGCCCTCTACATCCAAGGCAGTATCGGCAGCCAGTGTGATGCTCAATGACAACTGCTCGTGGCGCTAATCGACCGCAGTACTCCGATCGCAAGAGAAGTGCAACCTAGTGGAGATGAACCTCCTGGAAGCCCTCTTCTCAAAAATGGGCGCAGAGCCGAACGAACCTATGCCGGAGGGCACGGCAGTTTTACGGCAAAGTCGTCGTGGGTAAAGGTAGCGGTGAAATACCACAAAGGCCTGGGGCTGCCCTAGAAATAGTAGACGGTAGTAAAATTCCGTCGATCTCGAAGACGAAGTTGCACACTCCTCGCGAGGTAAAGCTAGAATATGTATGCGCTGCGACTACTACGTACCAACGGCTGACTTAAAGGTTTTAAGCGTGACACATGAAGGTGGTCAGCATTACATCGTCGAAATCAACACAACGGCCGACAACATCCGTGAGACCTAGTTTGTGTATAGCTTCGCCTGCGAGACCTGGCCGAAACCAACCACAACACACTGGAGGCATCGAAGAGAGGCGGTTGTGACCCTAAAGAACGCCAACAAAGTTTCACTGTTCGTTACGTCTTGCTACATGGCCCACAACAACGACGCACCGCCGAGGGAGCTCCATAGGCTGGTAGAAATGGCTGCCAAATGGAAGCAACCGCTTATACATAGTTGGATCCGACGTGAATGCCCAACATACGCTGTAGGACAGCGCCGACATAAGTCAAAGAGGTGAGTCACTTCCTAACTTTATATTACAAAAAGATTTAGGAGTAGCTAATACGGATGAAGAAGCGATGTTTATTGGGCCCACGTCCAGGAACGTCGCACTAGGGTACATAATAGGAGGGTGCTCGAGATACAGTCGTTCTCTGACCACAAATACATAGATAAGGGTCGATATTTTGATTTCTCCTAAAAGATAAAAGTACGTAGTAGGATCATCAGAAATCCCAGAAATACTAACTCGGAACGCCATAAGAAAATATTAGATGACATGAAAGCTAGGTCGCGCCGATCCTGATTGATGCTTACAATGCATCCTGCGCTATTTCGGGGACTAAGCGTCGATCGAAACCTCCTTGGGGGAATAAAGAGCTGGGATCACAAAGACCCGATGTACTAGAAAGCATAAAATTGGCCCAAAGTACACGAAGACAACACTGAAACGAAGACGAATAGAGAGAATTCCGAATACATATACCAAGACAGCGACTAAAACGAACACGAAGGTGAATGTCAAGACTAATACGAAGACAGCGCCTAAAAAATTTTCGATGTCTTTGATTTCATGAACAAAGAGCTCTTGAATATCAGACGAAAACAAAAAGCAGATTTAAGTATTTAGAGGTGCGCGGATATAAGTTAGAGACTTATCCCACTTGTTGTCGGTTTCCAAGTAGTTGGCTAATGTCATATTCGAATAACTCGACTAGTCGAACCAACGCAGGTGCACTAAAACCTGGAAAATGAATTTGGGCACAAAATTGTTTGTTTTTTTTTACTACATACTTTTATTTAACACAATTCTATGTATTGATTGGAATTTATTCATATCGAACATGTATTTGAATTTATGTTTCACACCTTTGGTGGAATTTTATAAAAAACATTGTAGCTACATCTATCCTTCTATGTATATATTTAGGTATGTTAATATGTATGCATTGTATTTGGTTTACTGCTTGAAAAACATACAAATATGAAGTTATGTCCATTATCTTTTGCTTCTAAAATATTTTGGTTTTAACTAATAAATGCGAAATTACTAAGTATACATACAGTGGCGGTCAAAAATGGATAAATGGTGTTTCGTTATAAGTATTTACAATGCTTTTCAAGCCGAATTTTTTTTTATTTTTTTATAAAAAATCTATATAAATCACACTTTCATACTCTAAACAGAACTTAGAAAAATTCCACAAATTTTTATCAAAATTTCGAGCTTTTTAAGCAGAATTTTTATAAATTTTTTGGGTATATAGTTAACAAGCTTATAAAAGTCTCGTAAAATAATTTTTTTTTTACAGCGTTTTGCTTTTTTTCGTACAAACATGAATTTCTTATGGAAGAATATGCGCAAGACCGTTTGCAAAAAAAAATAAAAAAAGTCAATGCCAGTTTTCCTAAATTTCGCTATTTATATGAAAAAAACCCGTAAAAGTCGGCAAAAAAAATATTAAAAATCAATGCGATTTTTAGCCGCTCAAAACTTGCACTTGTTTTACTAGAATTTTGTAAGCTTGTTAGCTGCATACCCAAAAAATTTCTAAAAATTCTGATTAAAAAGCTCGAAATTTAAATAAAAATTTGTGGAATTTTTCTACGCTCTATATAAAGTCTGAAAGTGTGATTTATACAGTTTTTTGTAAAGCATGAACCACATTTATATAAAAAAATATCAAAATAATTTTAGCTTAAAAATCATTGTAAATATTTAAAACGAAACACCATTCATCCATTTTTGACCGCCACTGTGTGTGAAGATTCATACATATGAATATAATTTTTAAATGTGTGCTTTTTTATATCACAATTTATTAATTAAATTTATATAAATAAAATCAGTATTTTTTATGCCTATATGTATGTATTTCAGTTTTCACACTAACTACTTAAGCAAAGTTAGCTTATGCCTAATATTTGGTATGCAATTCAGTCTTCAAGAAAAAGAAAACACAGAATACTGCAGTGCTTCAAATAAATATTAAATAAACTAATTTCAGAATATAAGTTTTTTTTGTTTTTTTTTTTGTAACATTTAAACATTGCTGGAATGCTCTCTTAGTGACATTTTATTTCGCTTTGACATTAACATTCCTTTCAAAATTCTTTTTTTTTCTTTGGTTAATTATGAGTACCAACGGTAAGTTTAATATTGCATACGTATTCTTATAAAATAAACCGCATAGCTACTCACTAAAAATTATATATGTACTTTGCTGTGCTTCGCTGTATACTCGTCAACGGAATCGTTTTATATGGCAAATTTGAGTAAAATATTTTTAATTTGGCTGTTTGAACTTTGTATTTGTTGCATCGGAACTCTATTAAGACTAATGTATTTTATAAAATCGGTACTGTTCCTTTTCAACTAGTTGAACCTACAAACATACCAGTTACTTATAAAGGTACGTACAAATTCATCAAACTTCATTGTTATTGTTTTAATTACATTTTTGAGTCTTTTCATATAACTAAATTTTTAAAACTTTTTGAGATATTTGTTTGTTTAAAAATGCTTAAAACTTGGCTGGTATAATATGTATGTATTTCGTTTCTTCATATCGATGCATATAAATAATGGTTGAATCAAAGTATGTATGTATATATATGTCATGTATTGTATTTAACGGCTTTTTTGTAGTTAATATTTTACTTGTGTATGTACGGTCATGAACTTTTTATTTATATGATCATTAGGAAACATATTTCATTCATATTTCACGTAAGGAATAATAAGCGACCGCCGTGGCTGAGTGGTTAGACATGCGCGTACTACCACCCTGTAGGACCTGAGTTCGATCCATTTTCCGGCCAGCATCTAAATTAGAAAAAGTTTCGTCTAACAGCGGTCGCCTCTCGGCCGGCAATTACAAAGCTTCGAGTATATTTCCTCCATTTGTTTAACAACATCGAGACACTCATCAGAGGAGAAGCTCGGCCGAACGCTTAACAAAGGTGTAAGCGCCAATCTATTATTTTTTTTTTTTTTGTTATGTGTTATTTAGTATCAACACTTTGAAATTTTGTTTCTACAAGGTATATGTATTACTTTTTAAATATTTTTTTCTGTTTAAGCCATACTCACTGTACAAAATTTATTCCATTTATAGAAACAGTTATCAGCTAATTCCAAGCACCAGTCGTTTCTTCATCGAAACAGTACTCTTCTTTTTTCTCTTTATTACCTTCTATTATTATTCTTCTTCCATTTATTTCTTGTTCTGCTTTTATTTTTCTTCTTTTCCCTCCCTTTAGCGGCCAAAATCTTATAAATTCGAAATATGTAGCATTCACGATATAACTGCAGAGGTACGACCATAAATCTGTTCGCATTTCATATTTTAGGCATTGAAGCTAACTATTCCTGTGCTATTGAGCAATGACAACACGAAGTGATTATTATACAGTGGCGGGAAAATAAATAGGGATACAACATTTTGACATTTTAACAAGTGTTGGCTATTGCAACCTTTGTACAAAAATTGGGAAAAATATTTACGAAAAATTGTTTACATAGAAAAACATGCGTAACACCGCACAATGTTTCAACTAAAAGTCATAAATACAAAACATTCGAAATTGGATGGAATTTAATATTTTAGCCCAAAAGCGTTTCTTCTAACAGCGGACGCCTCTCTATTCAGCGAAATCGGTGTAGTTTAGCTATTCTTTCCACCTGGCTCTATATAATCGATACACTGTGCGGCGTCAGCAAAAAATTATCAAAAATCAATGAGACTTTTTAGCAGGGACGTGAACCGGATAAAAAATTTGGTCGGTTCGGTTCAGCGGTTCGAACCGTTTTTGCACGTTTGGATTGGTTCGTCAAAGCGGTTTTTTTGGTCTTTGAACCGGGGTTTCGGTTCGGTTCAACGGTTCGAAAAACAAAAAAATAACGCGCAAGTTTAAGTGTCAAGTGCAACAACACACAAGGTTACGGGTCAAGTGTCTGTCAAATGAGATGGGTTGCCTTTACATTTGATATTGTCACATGGTAAACAAACATGGTAGGTATTACCATGTTTAACAAAAAGAAAAAAGTGGGTACATTTATCTATTGGAAATTGGTTGAAACGAACCTTTAAACCTTTATAGAAAGTGGTTCGATTTCGGTTCGGATCAAACATTTGTGAAAAATTTCGGTACGGTTAATGGTTCAGTTAATTAATAGAAAAAAGCGGTTTTCCGGTTCAAAACCGGTTCACGTCACTGCTTTTTAGCAACTTCACACTTGCATTTTAATGTGCTAGAAAACTGCATACCAAATTTGCTAATTTTTGTACAAATTTTTAAATTTGAACTAACATGGTTGCTGTTAGGCAATGAACTATACTTTTATAAAAAAATAAAATATATAAATCTTGTTAAAATGTATGGTCCCTATTTATCTTTCCACCACTGTACATATGTAACTTGTGAAAACCGATGTTGTCGTCTTACAAAGCTCCCACCACGCTCTCGGTATTTTAACCCGATATATCGTTTAATGCCAAAACATTTAATAACCTTATTCCATCTCTGCGTATGGATGTCTACACTCTCTCTATTCAGCATCTTATTCAGACCCCAGCGAAATACAAAATTATTCGGTTCCACGTCTGGTTTAGTACGAAAAAAAATTCTCTAAAAATTTTCATATTCTTCAAGTCTACAACTTTTTTCCAGCAATATGACCGTTTCATAAATATGTGATTAACACTTTTTCTGGTTAGGCTGATAATATTTACGTGCCACAAGCACCTTTTTCCGATTTGGTCTGGGTCCAAGAAACTTTGCTGGTTGCATCTGCACTCTGTCATTTTCATTCCTTTATAAAGACCATCCAGCTCATCATTTTATATTTTCGATTGTGCCGTCTCGATGTGGGAGCATTGTGGTTTTAGTTGACTGAGCTGTCAAATTTAGTACCTTTTCTGATGTGAAGGCTGATTTGTTCAGCCTTGGCGATTAAAACTAAGTGTTAATTTTCAATGTGTTTGGTTTGTCTTCTTTGTGTATACTGACGACCTTACGGTAGTTGTGGGTAGAAATTTCCCATAGACTCTGTGTGATATCATGTAGGGGGAATTAAGATTTCCTGAACTGCGGACCAAAGCGAAAGGTCTGGGAGTTAATCCAGGCAAAATTGACCGGGGGTTTTCTCCTTGTCATAGGCAATACGACGCTGGGGCTAAGTACTTAAGCAATACTTAGACGTAATACTGAACCGAAAGCAGCCGTAACTCTCTAAAGCTGGAAGGGTGCAATTGAACGGAGCTAGCGAATGTCTCCACAGATCATGTACTGTCTGACTATGTACTACGGTACTACGGTCTGGTGTCCAAGTTTAAGTACGCTGTGTTTGTGTGTGTGCTATAGCTAGAGTAGGAATAGGACAACTTTTAGGATTTGCCGAATCCACACAATATTTTCAGTGGATTCAGTAAAAGGTTTGCTGGTATGGTCGATGGAACTGAGGGTTGTCTATTTTGTATTTGCCAAGTCTAAATGATAAAACAGGACATCAGCCTTTTCCACAAAAATGTGGGTAAAAGGTTTCGAAAAGCTCCACAACATTAGCGTGTATTGGATAGAGTACACTTAGCTTCCGATTCTCCAAGACCAAGTTCAACTTATTAACTAATGTGTGCACTCTTTTAGCTCTTCTGCAGGGGTATTTCGCTACATTTCAACCGGTTTTTTTCTGTTCCTTTCCCCCTTTCCTATTATGAAAGCTCAATAGTATCAATTAACTCCCACTCCATATCTCAAGTCTGCTCAAATCTCCTATTTAATAGCACAAATTAGTTCAACCATGTGTGGCAATTTCTTTTTGTCTCTTTCAACGCTACTCGATCGCGCTCCGAGGAAGTGCAATCCATTTTAGTTATACTTTTGTTCACTGGTATGTTAGATACAATTCTTCATTAGTGCCTTTTGGCAGGTGGGCATCTTTGGCGGCTAGAAATTGCATATTTTAAGTCCTATTTATTTAATTTATTTAATCAAGGCAGCCGAAACCCCTTTTTACTTCTTTTCGTTGTGAACTATCTTCAAACGCTTAGCTTTACTTTCCAACATTTCTCTACACTCATTTAGACCAATTATCGCTTTCCCATTTGATTGGCCTAAACGAGCGTGGCCTACAATCGTGTCACTTCGGACACGGTCGCAACATCTCCCGAACTACCTGTTGTTGTTGTCGTCTGCACAGTCGAAGTGCCTGCGTCCAATGTCGGACGCGGCAGATGCGAGTAGTAGCCCATTTGGCAACTGTTGTGGTGCGATACCTTCGCTGCCTGATTCACCTGATATTGTGCGGCTTTTAGAGCCTGTTGCTGCTGTTTCGTCATACAGTCGCAAGGTGTTTGTGGCATTGGTGCTGCAATTAGCTCCTCCGTCGATTTAGCCATTATTTTCGTGGTAGTTGTAGTAGTAATAAGTTCTTCCACAAACTGTGAGGGTGGTGGCGCATAATTCTCTACGTCTGTATACGTGGAATAGCGACCGTAGGGGTTCTTGCGCGGTATTGAGTGACGTTGTTGTGCGATTTGCAATTTCACTGTAGGCTTCACACTCACCGTATCCAGATAACCATAGCCGAAGCCATAGCCACCGACAGCTTTCGTTGTTAGATTATCCCAAGATTTCGGTTTCTGCACGTAGGTGGCTTGTGGATAGATCTGTGAGGGTTGCACTTGCGTGGCGGTTATGTGATAGCGTTGCTGATAGATGCCATGCACATGCGCAGACGGCTGTTGCGATTGCTGCTGATGCTGCTGCTGCTGTGATTGTTGTGCATGCTGTTGCCCTTGCTGTTGGTACGACTGTCGAGATTTGGTCGAAGGTTGACGCGATGCTGCATGCTCACTCTTTGGATCCCAGTACAAGGTATCCGTACTAAGCGATGTTGTATACGAATTGGAGTCTGCTGGCGCAAATTCACTCGAAGTGCAGGAGTGTAGACTGCAATGGCTCATCAAGCCCGTTGTCAAATCAAAGTAACGTGAACGTATGCTGCCGTTGTGCGAATCACAGCCACCGTGTTGTTGTTGTTGTTGCTGTTGCTGCTGAAGTTGATGCTGCTGCTGTGGCGATAAGTGATGGTGATGATGATGTGGCTGCTGCGGTTGTGGCTGCTGTTGTTGCTGTTGCTGCAACATCTCTTGCGCTGTATGATGGTGATGATGATGCGTGTGATGACGCGTCGTGCCAGGCGATGCGTGCGATGTCTGGGACTTGGGTCTCGGCTGACGATCCTTCGAATCGCGCTCACGATCGCGATGTTTATGCTTGTGCGTGTGTTCCTTATGACGCGTTCGTCGTCGTGTCGGCACGCAATGTGCATCACAGCACGGACTAGCCAAATCATAAGCGTCTAAGCTGACGTTGTCGCCATTGCCATTACCACCACTAGCGCTAGTGGCTATAACGGCGCCCGCAGCACCCATTGCAGCTGCTTTCTCCGCCGACTTCCATCGAAAATGCCCAATACAAGGATTGCACGAATGCCCATAGCAATGTTTGGCTGATTTGTGCATTTTTTGTGCGTTGCTTGCTATTTTCGATTGCTGTTGTTGCTGCTGCTGCTGCTGCTGCTGTTGGTGTTGCTGTTGATAAGCCTGTTGGTCCATTGAGTGTTGCTTAGTCGGTGGTTTGTGTTTTTCACACGTACGTGGTGGTGGTACGGGTGCTTGTGAGCTAGCAGCGCTACGTTGTTGGCTTAAAACACTGCGTTGCGACAGACTTGCCATGCCCGTTGCGGTATCAAGCGATTCGGTATGTCGCAGAATAAAATGCTGTTCACTAGGACTACGTTGTATGCCATCTGCGCCGCTGGTAGAGCCCACGATATATTCGCCGCTGCTATTGGACGTAGAGGGTTTCATAACATAGCGGTAAGTCGGATCCAAGTAATGATAGGTGAGCATAAATTGTGCTGGTGGTGGTATGATTGGCTGTTGTGCCTGATGTCTGGCCATGCTGGGTACATCCTCAGTGGAAAGTGCCGGCCGATAGTAGGGTAAATTTTGCGTATCTCCATCTGTGGGTGAAAGGCCGCTTTCAGCGTCCGTGGGCGATGTGGTGGCTTTCTTGCGTGCCGGCAAACTATGAGTCTTCCATTTACCTTCAAGTAATTCGCGTTCGCGCAAACAAATGCGCTCCAGTTCATTCATTTTGCTATGCAATAGGTTTTGCAATTGTATGTAGCGCATATGAAGATCGACCTGAAAGTAGCGAGGTTGTGGATAAATAAAATTTACTAAATTCTTTATTTTAACATACCTTACGCACGCAGTCTTCAAAGAGTACCACCATACGCATGCGCGTATCACAGCTCTTTATAAAATCGACAATTGTCTTGTGATCCGCCTTTTCCATATCTGTGCCATTTATCGATAAGATGACATCGCCTTCACGCATACCTGACTTGTAAGCAGGTCCATCGTATTCTACGTAATCAACATAGGTGATCATCTCTACTTCCTGATCCTTCTTATAGTGTATGCCATAGCTCTGTAGCGTGAAACCATATGAGTCATTCTTCTTTTCAATAATGATTGTTCGTCTACGCCGATCTTCGTCGGGTTTCGATGCAAGAAAGCGTTCCGATCTGACGCGCCCAATGATATGCGTGGATTGGGACAGCTGAAAGAGAGTTAAAAATATTCGCATTAGTATTGAAGTTTTAAAATTGAATTACAAGTAGGTGTTTGGGAATATTCCTGAATCTATCATAGGCTCAGTTTTCGTGAAAATACACAATTTAAATATACATATATATGTAAGTACAACGGATTCAACATCAACCTTGATTATATTAAACGGAACCTTATGATTCCAACCCCTTCAATTGTGTTCAGTTGGGTTTGCCATTTCATTGTGAATAGACGACAGAACAGAACTTGCAAATCGCAATACTCCAATATATCGAGCCCTAACCGCCAAAATAACGTAAGCGACATTTTTTTCAAAATTTTCTTTTTGATGCAGAAATGTATCTAGATGCTCTAGGAATATTTCTGCATCAAAAAGAAAATTTTGAAAAAAATGTCGCTTACGTTATTTTGGCGGTTAGGGCTCGATATTATTTCGAAAATCTAGTTTCAGTCCACTCACTGTTTTATCGAAATATTGAGTTCAGTGACGAGGCTCATTTTCGGCTAAATGGACTTATCAATAAACAAAATCTGGCACGGATCATACAGAAACCAATTTACATAAATATATATTTATCTTTATTCTTAGGCAAAAGTACGATATAGCAAATTTCAGTAAAATCGTATCACGGCTACAACGATTTGTCGCATCGTATATAGGGATAAGTCAATGTGAAGCGTTCGTTTTATGGAAGATTAACGAGAGGAACACATGAGTTCGTATACGTTTTCTCAACTCTGAAAGGACTAGAAAAAAATATATTCACCTCTGATTTATGGAGCGACGATCATACTATTGGACTTGGCATTAAATACACAGATAAATCCAACAACAACCACCATTGTTGTGTCATGAAACGTCAACAAAATATGAGTTTTTCCTGAATGTACTAATCGTAGAAAATTTCTTAAAACGTATTAGTAGTAAAGTCGAAAATCTAATCAAATACTTAGAATATTTCGAAACATTTAGAATCTAGGACTTTCTGCCAATCTGAGACTACTGTACGACGCCAACATGCCATACATTGGGTCAAACAGATGGAGAAACACTTCTGTAACGAATGAGCGAGAACTTGCAGGTCGCTGTCTTAGCTTTGCGATATTCACAATACACGCCGTTACAGAATGGCCACTCTGGTTGCAGGGATGCGTTTGCTAAAGCCTTGTACAGGTTAAGTTTGTAGTTAATGGAAATATTGCCAAGAATTGCAAAGAAAAAAAGTATTGTAAGTAAAAAGTCTTAGATGCAAGGTCGCATTTGGGGCGTGAGGCAAAGAGGCGCTCACAAAATTATGCGCTTCTTTGTAGGTGAACTTAACCTCATCCCTAATTTAGCTAAAGTAAAGTAAAAAAGTAAATTCGTATAATCCTCAGAGCAGTAGTTATGCAAATTTTATTATGTCCTTTGAACCCTCAAATAATTCTCCATATTAATATTCTTAATTATTCCGCTTCTATGTATTAAATACTTACACATTCATTACTTAAAAACGGCTTGCACAATTTCGTCTTCTTCTTGTCTATGTGTGACTAACAGTACACGACAATACAGTTTTATAAGGATAAAAAAAATTCGTTTCTGACCTTTGGTCACTCCACTGTTAAAATATGCATGACTATAATGGATCAACCAACTAACAAAAGAAATAAACATATTCAAAGCTTTCCATGTCAAAAGCCCATCAAAAATTCTAATAAACAAAAAGCTAGAATAAACAAGTAAGAAAGTCTAAGTTCGGGCGAAGCCGAACATTAAATACCCGGCGCAAGTATTAAATATATGTTTTTTCACCTTTCCGAAACCTTCCGCTAGATGGTAATTTTGAGTAAATTAGCGTCCTTCAATTTCGAAATATTGAAGTTTCAAGCATTTCTGAAATTTACCGTTATATGAGAAGCGTCCGTTATTTTAGTCCGATTTCAATAATTTTCAACGTTTTGCTTATATGTGGCAAGCACAATAACCACACCGAGTTTGGTACAAATTGGTAGAACGGTTACCGATATACTTATATGAGATCATAAGTGGGCGGTGCCACGCCCATTTTCCAAAGTTTTACCATAATCGTATTTCTTGGTAAAGAATTGTTGCAGGCATCAATTTTGAATAAATTAGCTTCAATATTTAATGATTTATCGAAGATTTTGTATTTCTCTAAATTACCGTTATATGGGATGTAGGCGTGGTTATTGTCCGATTTTAAAAAGTTTCGGCAATTTTTTATGCAGTGCCAAGGCCAACAACTGTGCCAAGTTTGGAAGAAATTGGTGCAGTGGTTACCAAGTTATACACATGTAACCATAAGTGGGCGTGGCTACGCCCATTTTCCAAAAATTTACAATATTCTTATTTTTCGTCTAAAACATATTATAAATATCAATTTTGAGTGAATAATCTCCAGTAGTTACTAAAATATCGCAGTTTTCGTATTTCTGAAAATTACCGTTATATGGGAAGTAGGCGTGGTTATTGAGCGATTTTAAAAATTTTCGGCCATTTGGTATGTTATGCGAAGGCCAACAACTGTGCCAAGTTTGGAAGAAATTAGTGCAGCGGTTACCAAGATATACACATGTAACCATAAGTGGGCGTGGCTACGCCCATTTTCCAAAAATTTATAATATTCTTATTTTTCGTCTAAAAATTATTGTAAATATCAATTTTGAGTGAATTATCTTCAGTAGTTACTAAAATATCGCAGTTTTCGTATTTCTGGAAATTACCGTTATATGGGAAGTGGGCGTGGTTAAAGTCCGATTTCGCCCATTTTCAATACCAACCTACCTTGGATTAAGGGAAACCTACATACCAAATTTCGTTGAGATATCTCAATTTTTGCTCGAGTTATCGTGTACACGGACAGACGGACAGACGGACAGACGGACAGACGGACAGACGGACGGACAGACAGACATGGCTTAATCGATTTCTTTTTTCATCCTGATCATTTATGTATACATTTGTCTATATCTATCTCGATTCGTTTTGGCTGTTACAAACAACCGTTATGTGAACAAAATTAATATACCCTTGTGCACAAGTGCGCTCGGGTATAAAAACACACCTTAGTCACTTACTTTCTACCTCATTTCAGCTATCAGCACATAGCACTTGAATACGCATTGAAATTCTTTGTAATTGTTGTTACACCCAGAGGCATTGCTCATCATTTCTAAGCGCATAAAAATTCTCGTTAGTTAATGACAACTTTTGCAAGCAGCCGCTTGTTATGTGCTTATGTTTGTAGATATGTAAAAATAACTACATGCACACACACACATAAATGCTGTGTATACCCTACAGGAAATGTATTTAACTATAAGCTAACTTTAAGTTGATTAGGTAGGAGCTAAAAGTCACTACTATCTGCTATTATCTGTACATTTTCTTTGGCGAAAGCTTACTATATTAAGCGGGATAAAAGTTCCAAAAATTTCATATTAAAACACATTAATTTTTCGATACTAGGTAATGCAAAATTGAATGCCGGACTTTTCTTAGGACATTGCCCTGCGAAAAAAATTATTTTCGAATGTGAAAAGAGTTGTTTTACTGATTTTTTTTTTTTTTTTTATTACTATACATTATATTTTCCCACTGGGTATGTTCATATACATAATAGTATTTATAAAAACATACATACATATGCGTTGAGTTCCTTGTTGCATTTCACGTATCAAGTCAATAATATGTAGCACGTTACAATCTTTAACTTTTGCTGGGTTTTAATGTACTAGGATATATTAGTAAAAATTTAAGCTGACGAATATTTATGTATGGGCTCTAAAGGTGTTAAACAGCTGGGGTGTTCGTCTGGTGCCAATAGCCTCATACCTCATCCTACTTGCAAAGGCAGCGCAGAAGCACAACAATTTTTTTCGTTGTTGGGGTTGTCATGTGTGCCAAAACCTTAAGGGCACCTTGGCTATCACTAGTGACACATAAACTCCTCCTGCTCCACCAATTTTCGATAACGTAATTCATAGGCTTGAGGTTTGCAAATACCTCAGCTTTATATACCGAGGCGTGTTCGCCAAGAGAGAAGTGAATATTGTCCCCGTTACTTTCGATATAGACTCGAAATCCTGACCCTGCATCAGTTATGGAACTAACAGTATCTACAATGTCCAAGCCCGGCCTAAGTACTAGGGTTAAGCAAGTGCTCAGCCACAGGGAAGTCGACATTGTACTATCACCTCAGCAAAGCGAATGGTGGCGTACTATCTTGTGGCATTGAAAAGACAATGAAGTCTAAATCTCAGCTTCCAGCAATTTCCGCCTCGCTCCACCTTGTATCATAGGAGCACCTATTTCTCTCAAGCCTACAGGTGGCCTTAAGGGCCTCTCCGCAGATAAATAATATTAAGTGATGGTAGGTTCAGCAGTACATCCAAAGCAGCGCCAGGTGTGGTAAGGAAAGCTCGCGTGCAAGACACTACAACCATTCTTTAAAAGTTGGCAGGCATACTTCCCACGCAATGAATTGAGAGTCTGCTCCACCACACCACAGATACATAGCTGATTATGAGTCTTATCAGACGGACCCCACGTTTTACCATGGCCAGGACGCTTTTAAGGCTTTGGAATTATTTTGCTCAACGTGAGACTATCTAGAATTACATCCAAAATACTTTACTTCCGAAAAAAAAACTGATTAATAACTACTTTAAGGGCAGGGGCAACAATGCCGCCCACCTTCTCCTTCTAGTAAAGAGCCCAACATTAGTTTTGGGTTGGGTTAGCGGACAGCCCTTTCTCACTACAGCAAGTGTCGAATCATATTCAATGTTATTTGCGCTTTCCCTACAAACAACTGATAGAGAAGGACCTGTAAGCATGACCAGCAGATAATAAATTACCAAGCATCAAAGCAAGGAAAAAGCAACCAATCCTGCGGACCACCTCCACGATAGCGCAACTCAACCAATCTTTTCACACATTTAAGCATGAACGACATCATTATAATGGGACTGAACGACGTCTTC